CACTTAATCTAATCTAATCTGTTTGGGGTCCATCTGTCTTCACAACCAGTTGGCATAACTGTAGTGACTGTGCACTTTAGCATTAGGGATAAAGGTATCTTGCATTAGGAGACTGTCTTCATTATAGCAAGAAAAAGAATTACCGGATTCTGATGAAGACAGTCATCTTTTATGCTGATTTCTTCAAGGAGAGCCAAGCAAAGGGATCTCCAGGCTCTGACCCACACGGCCGCAGTCAGCCCAGCTGTGAAATGTGAGTTCCATCAGGCGGCCTCCTTCACGTACCTGCACATCCCTCCTCGAAGGATTAGGCCACTGATGGCAGCTGCAGTCACACAGGACAGGTTTGACAGCTCTGTTACTAATTACACCTAAAGTGTTTACTGCCCCAGTGCAGGCCTTGCTTCAGTGTAAATCTTTTTGTTAAAGAGAAGATTGACATAAGAATACTCTTCGTCTCATTTTTATCTCTGCTCTCTCTTCAGAGACATCGTGTTACAGTTGCTTGCGGGGTTTTCTACATCTTTGGGCCCAAGTTGGAAAAAGCTGGCATATTTGTCTCTGACAAAAGTTTCTTCCTAGAGATGTTTGGTTTGCTCTAATTCATCAGTCTCTGGATTTCTTAGTAGTGGATTTAAATAACCAGAACTATTTACAGGGTTTGGGGTTGGGGTTAGAGTAATTTATCGACTCCTTTAGTAACCAAATGTGATGACAGAATGGCCTGAGCTCTAGCAATGGGAGTCTTGGTTGGTTATATTTACCTTATCACCTTAGCCTTAAGGAAAGCACACCCGACCAATTAACAGTGGTCTGCCTCACAATGTATTTCAAAATGTGTATTTAGATGTGATTAGAAAAATCACTCTAGTCCTATCAAACCATTCCTCCTTTACTGTCAGCTCTCAACCCCCAAACTAATGTTACGTCTTACAAACTTAGACTATTTGGTATGACAGATGAATTAGTGGAAAACCATAGAATATTTTTGATGGTAGTTTTATAGTTTAAAATGCACACAGTACATTGGAAACTAATTTAGAGCCTCCAGTGGAGAGGTCTTTAGAGAACTTAAACTACAGATCATAAGAAGATTTTATAATTGGCTTGTCTCGTTTTATAAATTCCATGTCTTCATTCCTGGGATTGAGGTGAGGGAGGGGCGGTTTGAAATCTTAACAGAAATCATATCACCATTAACTTCCGTTATCAGAGAAGGTGCTGGGGAAACGTTGTAGTTCTGATATTTTCTCTGGCATTTATTCACCTTCTCCTGTTTCACCGAAATTTAGTTAGAGAACCTGGTAATTAGAATCATGACCTATGAGGCAAAAAGGCAGAATACATTTCTGGTATCTGACCATATTAGGGTGAGGGGCATTTGAGCTAGAAATAGACAGAGGGGCCACATTGAATGGCCTTTGTCAATGCCCCCCGTCCCCTTCAGATTGTGGATTTTATAAACGGAAGGCTGGGGACTGTGAGGATGGTGGTGACACAGGTTTTTGTTTGCGTCGTCTTAGTAATGGAACTGGAAAAACCTGTCCGAGTGTTGGGTTGTAGGTAATATGCCTTAGGGAGATGTATTCTGCCACTAGTAACCTCTAAAACAAGAATTGAGCGAAGATTGGACACTGAAGCTAATCACCCATTTAATAAGTTGGGTTTTGTTTCAGAATCTAAGGGTAGTTTATATTGGTTTGTATGGTAACCACTGTCCTCTCTTTAGGATGAATGCTACGATGGCCACCTTAGTAAAGAAACACAAATGCGGGCTATAGGATGAGCCTTTACTTGCAGGCTTGCTCTTCTAAAGACTTTCTTTTAAAAACATTTTTAGGAAAGACCTACCAAATTACTACCCTTAACTATTTCACAAACAAAATTACAGTCATAGTGCCTTTGTATCCTTCTTCTTTCTTAAAAGTTTCTCTTTTTAGATGTCAGCACAGATAGCACGATGACTTCTGTCTAATTTGGTGACAGACCTGGGAAAGGTTGCAGAGGAAGCATTGGAGTTGGGAAAACAAGTTTGTTTTGGTTCTTATAGACACTAGCTGTGTGACCTTCTGTAAGTTATTTAATTTCTCTCAGTCTGAGCCTTCATATATATGATGAGGGCACCAACTTTGCGGGTTTACTAGGAGGATTAGAGTCGAGGAATCTAAAAGCTCTGGCCCAGTAACTGACGGTGCTGTAGTCAGGCAGGCTCTCACTCTTCCCTCTTGCAATTAGGGACCTGGGCCCTGACAGGCTGTGGTTCTGGTCCTCCTTGTGGGTATTCCGGCCCCTTTACCACAAACCCCTACAGAAGCTTAATTTCTCTCTCCAAATTCCTAACCAATGGTAGCTTGTAATTTTATAAAATTACACACATACATTGTTGGGGTTTAGAGTTGTAGAATGTAGATGACCATTAGAAAATCCATAGAGAACATTTTGGAGGTCTCTAAAGGTTTCATTTTCTTTCTTACTTGGTTTGGAATTGTGAGACTAAAAATGCATTAAAAAAAATCTCCAAATGCTTTTTAAAGGGGGGGTGGATAACTGGGTACTTATGATTGGTCATTGTTAATTCTGGGTGTTGGTATGAACTCTTTCCAAAATCTAGAGCAAAGGGGGCTGGCCAGGGGAGGGGTAATTCGGCTAGCGTCTACATTGCCCCCACAGAGCTTCAGGACCACCCTGTTTTTTCAATGAGAAGCTTGAGTTTAAGTTTTTAGTTAATACAGCTAGTTGTCTGAGTACTCAGTAATGGAACCACCTCGCACTTGCCTGCTTGTTGAACCCTGCAGAGTGAGTTTTAAGAGCATGCTTCATATCTTTATTGAGAAGGTGTTTTACTTTTTAAAGAAATGTGATTTCTGAACCATTCATAGAGATGCCATTATTCTTTTAAAAACCATAAGAGTAAAAGGGAAGCAGGATATATAGTCTCATGGGCAACATTTGTCTCACCAGATACTCAGCACGTTGCCTGTTTTCTACTCTCAAACGCGTCTTTGTGGCTGTCGTAGAAATGCCGAATTATGACCCATGGTTGCTGATGCTCATTGCCCAGCCAGAGCTGCTGGGCATCCTTGCATGGGAACATGTACACGGGAAACACTCTGAGTATTTTGGGTTATTTACGTATGGTGAAATCCTGCTCACTTTCTATGTTTTAAAAACATTCTGGTAGAACACATGTATTTGTATCTTCTACATAAATACAGTTGGTGATTGCCAATTTTTTTTTTAAACTACGGTAGCTTTTAGAATGGTTTGTATTTAATAGACAGCAGCAGGCAATATCTTCTGTCTTTTTAACTTGCAAATAAAAACTCATCTGGCCTGCAGGTGCTATTCCAGGTGTGGCACATACCATCAACTCCTCTCTTTTACTGCACATGAGGCATTTTCAGATTAGAATGAGCCCTCCCCAGGCGATGACCCTGTGCTTTATAATAGCAGTAAGAGTACCCTGACTTGGTAGCGTGACTGGCTCCGGAAGTATGTTATCATATATCATCCTTACGTCATCCCTGTCAGGGAGGGACGGTCTGGATGTTATGGCTGTAGTGAAGAAGAACTGAAGTTGTTGCAGACAGATTAAACGATTTGCTCAGGTCACATGGTTGGTCGGTGGCAGAGATAGGACTGGATCTGGGTCATCCCTGTTAACTGGGCTTGTCTACCAAGCCAGGAGGATTCTTGCAAGATGGGTGCAGTTGTGAGGTTTTCGAGGGTATTTTGCCCTTTTTCTTTTCTTTTTTTAAATAAACCTTTCAGTATAGAATCGTTTTAGATTTACAGAAAAGCTACAAACCTAGTACAGAGAGTTCTTGATGTTGGGTATCCACGTCAAGTCTCCCCTGTTGATAACATCCAATCTTAGTTTGGTACATTTGTCACAACTAATAAACCAATGTCGATACGTTATTATTATTAACTAAGATCTGTGCTTTATTCAGATTTCCTTAGCTTTTGCCTAATATCCGTTTTCTGTTCCAGCTTCCCATCCAGGATACCACATTATATGTAGTCATCATGCTTCCTTAGGCTCCCTGTGGACCTACTGGACAGGCATTTTAAAATGTTCCTTATCTGGGATTTGTCTGCAGTTTTTCTCATGATTAGACTGGCATGATGGGTTTTGGAAGGAAGACCACTGAGGAAGGTGCTGTTTTCATCACATTATAGCTAGTGCCTGTTATCAACCTGACTTTGCCCTGTTGATGTTGATGTTGATCACCTGGCTGAGATGTCAGGTTTCTTCACAGTAAAGTTACTCTCCCCCACCGCCTCTTTCTATACTGTACTCTTTGGAAGGAAGGAAGTGTGCTCAGACCACATTGCCTTGAGGAGGGAGTGTCTGTATAAATTATTTGGAATTTTTTTGAATGGGAAACTTGCCTACTTCTGTCGACTCAGCAAATCCTACTTTACCATTTTTTTCTTATGCTTGTGAGACAGGTGTGAAATTGTGGCAGGAGGAGATGGAGTCGTAGAAAGGATCGGTAACAATTCACACCAGTTCTGGGTTCATAGAAGTGGTTAAGAAAAGGTAGATGCTGCCTCTGTACTAGAGGAGGAGGGGACCAAAATAGAATAAAATAGCCCCCTAAGTGATTAATTATCCTTAGAGAGCCAGGGAGGTTTATTGCAAAGCGCAGGGAGAAATGGTGTGGTAATACATTGTAAGTGTGAACTTCAGTATAGGAAGTACAGTTACAGAAAGGACAATAAAACTTGGGAATTTAAGAAGAACAATGCCAGTGAGCTCCTACATCCCCGCATTTCCTGGATATGAAACCGTCTCCCACCCTCTAAATACGGAGCTTGCCATTTTCAATACTGTCATTTAATACCAAGCCAAGGAGGGTCATGCAAAGCCTTTTTTTTTTTTCCCTTAGCCTCTGAGGTTGCTTTAAAAAATGAGTCTGATTAGCAACTGTTTCTTCTGAGTGCTCAGTTTGGACCATTCTGGCTCATCTGCACTGTCCCTTCTCTCTCTGCAGAACTCCATCCGGCACAACCTGTCGCTGCACAGCCGGTTCATGCGGGTTCAGAATGAGGGGACCGGCAAGAGCTCATGGTGGATCATCAACCCCGACGGGGGGAAGAGCGGGAAGGCGCCCCGGCGGCGGGCCGTCTCCATGGACAACAGCAACAAGTACACCAAGAGCCGGGGCCGTGCAGCCAAGAAGAAGGCAGCCCTGCAGACCGCCACCGAGTCAGCCGACGACAGTCCCTCCCAGCTCTCCAAGTGGCCCGGCAGCCCCACGTCTCGCAGCAGTGATGAGCTGGATGCGTGGACCGACTTCCGCTCACGCACCAATTCCAATGCCAGCACGGTCAGTGGCCGCCTGTCCCCTATCCTGGCTAGCACGGAGTTGGACGACGTTCAGGATGATGACGCGCCACTCTCCCCCATGCTCTACAGCAGCTCGGCCAGCCTGTCCCCCTCCGTCAGCAAGCCGTGCACCGTGGAGCTGCCCCGGCTGACCGACATGGCGGGCACCATGAATCTGAACGACGGGCTGGCCGACAACCTCATGGACGACCTGCTGGACAACATCGCGCTCCCTGCGTCCCAGCCGTCGCCCCCCGGAGGGCTCATGCAGCGCAGCTCCAGCTTCCCATACACCACCAAGGGCTCCGGCCTGGGCTCCCCCACCAGCTCCTTCAGCAGCACGGTGTTTGGCCCCTCGTCTCTGAACTCCCTGCGTCAGTCTCCCATGCAGACCATCCAAGAGAACAAGCCAGCCACCTTCTCTTCCATGTCGCACTACGGCAACCAGACACTCCAGGACCTGCTCACGTCGGACTCACTCAGCCACAGCGATGTCATGATGACCCAGTCGGACCCCTTGATGTCTCAGGCCAGCACCGCTGTGTCCGCCCAGAACTCCCGCCGGAGCGTGATGCTTCGCAGCGATCCAATGATGTCCTTTGCCGCCCAGCCTAACCAGGGGAGTTTGGTCAATCAGAACTTGCTCCACCACCAGCACCAAACCCAGGGCGCTCTCGGTGGCAGCCGTGCCTTGTCAAGTTCCGTCAGCAACATGGGCTTGAGCGATTCCAGCAGCCTCGGGTCAGCCAAACACCAGCAGCAGTCTCCTGTCAGCCAGTCTATGCAAACCCTCTCGGACTCTCTCTCAGGCTCCTCCTTGTACTCAGCTAGTGCACACCTTCCCGTCATGGGCCACGAGAAGTTCCCCAGCGACTTGGACCTGGACATGTTCAATGGGAGCTTGGAATGTGACATGGAGTCCATTATCCGTAGCGAACTCATGGATGCTGATGGGTTGGATTTTAACTTTGATTCACTCATCTCCACACAGAACGTTGTTGGTTTGAATGTGGGGAGCTTCACTGGTGCTAAGCAGGCCTCATCTCAGAGCTGGGTGCCAGGCTGAAGGCTCACTGAGGAAAGGGGAAGTGGGCAGAGCAGGTCAGTGCCCAGGGCTACGGCATAGTAATAACAGGGGCGGTGGGGGACAATGGCTTTCATTTACGTGGTGCACAGTAACCTGGCTCCCAGCCAGTTCATTCTGAGTGGTACCAGCAAAACAAATAGGGCTGTCAGGTGCCCCTCCCCACAGTTTGCTGACAGCTCAGGAGTTTTACTGCCAGTAAAAAGAATACACATTCAGAGGTTTCATTTTTCTTTGTATCCAGTCACCCTCGCTGACCTATGACACAGGTCCCCCTACTGGATGGATGGATGAGGAGAGAAGGGATGGGAGGAAGGGGACCTTAGGCCACACAAACATCAAGGTTAAGGACGCAACCAAAGGGCCTTTCTTAGGCTCTCAGGTCCAGCACTGCCATTGTCCATCTTCGATGCTACGGTTTCTATATCTTTTTTATCCAGCAAAGTAACAATTTTTAGGTGCTTCTAATTTGACAGTAGACTATGCTTTCTGGACTCTTTCATACAGGAGTATTTCCAAGAAGCAAGATCTGTTAGATTCTTCACCATTAGTACTAAGCAATCTTTATTAGCACTCAGCATCTAAACATTTAAAAGAGCAAAAAGAATTAAATAGAAAACAGAAGTTTTTAATGTGAGAGAGCACTTACTCATGTGCTTCTTTTTCCCAGTGTATAAATGGTGTCCGGTTCCAAACGGTGACAAGAGTTGTGAATGGCGACAGAGATTTTTTAAATTGTGGCATTTTAATTCTGTTGGAACCAGAGAGATCATGCAACATGATGTGGCAAGAAAAGAGAAGCATTTGACTGGAATCGGAAGTTGAGGGTTCCGTTCCACTTCTACTGCTTTCTGGTTGCTATTGGGAGTGTGTCACTTAGCCTTTGAACCTCAATTTCCAGTTTTATAAAATGAGGATAATAGCCCCTGTTACTCCACAGGGTTATTGCAAGAATCAAATGCACTGAAGTGTGTGAACGTGCTTTGTAAAACTGCAGTGGGCTGAAGTATGTGCGGTGTTATTAGGTACACATACCGACTGACACATGAGTAAGCAGGGAGCCCAGAGAGGTTAAGTGGTCTGCCCAGGGTCACACAGCTGGACCCAGAATCCCTATTTCTGGAATGGCTTGAACCATAATCGTTCTTCCTAATTATCTCTAGATGGTAAAAATGAGAAGTGCTCTGAACCGGAGCCAGAATCAGTAGGTAACATACAAGCTTGCCCCAGAACTCTCAATCTTCAAGTAGTAAGATGAGCACTGGGGTCTTCTGCTATAACACATTTGTACCCCCAGACCCTCCCATGTTCAGGGGCTCTTTTTATGCCCCAGTTCCTTTTTTTTTTTTTTTTTTAGTATCAGCAAGCTACTTACACTCTTCTTTATTAAGTGGTGTGAAAGAGAAATGGGATTCAAAGCCATAAAAAGCTGAGCCTTGTTTAACCCTCTGCCCTGGTGAAGGAATTATAAGGGTCTCCTGTGATGAGCTCATCCCGTTCATGGGTAGTTGTCGAAAGTGGAATGTCGAGAGTGTTGTGATGCTCAGCTTCTCCGCTTTCCCAGGCAGAAGCAGGTCCCTAATGGCACTCAGACATCTGTTTCGAGTCATTTAATAGCCCTTGAGACGGTAAAAAGACTGCAGCAGAAGCTAAGAAGGGTGACACACTTCCGTACTGCCAGAACTCGGACTGGTGGAGACTTGCCTTGAGAAATTTAGATATTTGGCTTTTAGAAGAACAGTTTGTCTTCCTTTAAGAAGAGGAATATGATTGTGGCTTCTGAAGACACAGTAGGTTTTAATTTTGGTTTGGTTGTAAGGAATCCACTTTCTAGTTCATTGAGAAGAAAATGTGCCATCAATTTTTGTCTTATTTTTCAAGTGTAGGTTTTCCTTTTAATTCAGTAGCAGACTTTTCTTGTGTGTGTGTGTGTAATTCTAAAAGGTGGTATAAAACTATTTTAAGGGAGGGCTTCCCTGGTGGCGCAGTGGTTGAGAGTCCGCCTGCCGATGCAGGGGACATGGGTTCGTGCCCCGGTCCAGGAAGATCCCACATGCCGCGGAGCGGCTGGGCCCGCGAGCCATGGCCGCTGAGCCTGCGCGTCCGGAACCTGCGCTCCGCCATGGGAGAGGCCGCAACAGTGAGAGGCCCGCGTACCGCAAAAAATATATATTTTTTTTTTAAGGGAGATTTAAATACTTATGTTTAAAAAAATATATTTAGTGAATTATTATTTTGATAATAAGTAACTACTTTTAAGAGTATGCATTTTATTATTATACCCTTTTGGAATATTAGGGTCATTTAGTCACCTTTTTCTCAAAATATTTTGGGTGAAGTGTTTTTGAGGAGCTATTTCTTGAGTAAAAAATATGAAAAGTCACCAAATTTTCCTGAAAGTAAACCAGCTCAGTATGACCAGAGCAAGAGAAAGAAACATCCTGAAGACTGTGAAGGGCTTTGAGGGAGTCTGGTTTCTGGCTCTAGGATTTCCATTTTGCTTTGGAATAAATTGCTCCACTATATAGCCAGGAGCATGTGTGGCCTAATGTATATTCTTACTTTTACAGTAAACTTGTGGCTATCGCTTTATTGAAGATTCTCCTGAATTCACAAAACAGGACTTGGGTCACAGTCTCAGAATTCACTTCTCCCAAATTAAGCACCTCAGCTTCCCAAGATTTGTTCTATAATGACTTTCTTGGTTTGACTTTTTTTTTTTTTTTTCAAGCCAGTAGTTGTGGTATTCTCTAGACTCACTTCCTGGCCTTGCTAACTGAAGGTCATGTGACCCCGAGTGGGCGCCGGAGCAGTTCTGTCCAGTTGACAGACAGTCTTGCTGGAGAGCTGTGGTGAGATGCTTCTCTGGAGGGGTGGGTGTTTCACACATGTCATTCATTTTATAGATCACGTGTGAAATCCTTTGACCTACAGGTCTATCTGGAAAAGGAAAGAATAATTGTACCTCTTTGTGAGTGCCAGCTACTGGGGTATGACGGGCACTTGCTTCTCTCAGGCACTGGGGAAGCTTGGTGTGCATGTGTACAGATTGGCAGCAGGCATGGCTGTGAGCAAGTGTGGTGGTTTCAGGGCTGTGCCTCCGGTAAGCCCTCCTGAGATTGACATGTGTCTGTTCTTGCAGGAAAGCAACGTCAGTTTCACTGTAGTTTTGATGTCAGAAGGTGCCTAAGTTCACATGCTTTTTCGTTCATCTTCATCTTTTGGCATTTGGAGACCCCATTAGGGAGCAGCCCCATACTTAGTTGCGTTTTAAACAACTTTATGATAAGGATTGGAAAATACTAACTAGGAAAACCCCAGGTGGAGAGGAGAGAGGTAGTTCTCTTCCTGTCTGTGCCACTGGCCATGTCACTGATGAATCTCTTAGAATAGTAGGTTTCTCATCTGTCAAAAGAGGACAGAATCGTAGAGTTGTTTTTTTTGTTTGTTTTTGGGTTTTTTTGTTTGTTTAACCAATAAGATTTATTTAGTTTTTTAAATTGAATTGTAGTTGCCATACAATATAGTGATTCACAGTTTTTAAAGGTTATACTCCACTTATAGTTATTATAAAATACTGGCTTTATTCCCTGTGTTGTTCAACATATCCTTGTAGCTTATTTTATACCTAATAGTTTGTAACTCTCAATGCCCTACCTCCATCTGGCCCTTCCCCTCTTCCTTCTCCCCACTGGTAACCACTAGCTGTGAGTCTGCTTCTTTTTTATTATATTCACTAGTTGTTGTATTTTTTAGCAAAGTCATAGAATTTTAAGGGTGCATAGTATGTATACTTTTAAACCTGAAACCTAACATTCTGTCTGTGAAATTGCCACCGTAAGGGATATGCGATGATATGGAACTGTAAAGGAACAGTGGTATACTAGTGTGGCAACAGCAGGTCCTGGTGTTGGAAGCCGTTGAGAATTTAAATTTAGGCTACTTCCCAAAAGGAACAAATCTTTGATACTTGTTGGACTGATGTTTAAATGCTGTGATTCCATTATGTCTTTAAATATTCATGTTGGGGGATAGGACTGATTCTAACCAAATACAGACAATATCATAGGCTACTCATGTGATGTTTTTTCTTGATGTACTGATAGATATTTCCATTAGGGAATATAACGTGCAGTACGTACTGCGTGGAGAACGTACTCTGTTACTTGCACTTGTGAACTGTTGTCTAGTCTTTGGTTATAGTGTGCTAGCCTCAAGAATTCTGTACCTGCAGGGACCTTTATTCTTACTTTTTAAAAAACCCAAAGTCTGAACTGTCATTCATGGAGATAATGGCTGTCTGGATGTTCCTAGTGTTGACAACAGTGAAAGAAAATTGACAAGAGCCCTGAAAAGACGTTTTCTGTGCAGAGGCTGGTACGCTCCTTACGTACACCCGTTTCCCTGGAAAGCAGTGACGTCCAGCACTAAGGCTGCTCTTCCTGGGTCTGTCGGGTTTTTAATGCGCCTTTGCTCACCACTGGCCAGCCTGCTAAGCATGGGGACAGAGCCTGAGTGACTGCTGCTCTTCATGCAGTAGCGTTTATAGATGGCTTTCTGGCAGGTCTCTTTTGGCCACAGAGCTTGTGTGGAACATAAATAAGTGGAATGAAAATCACCAGAATTACTACTGGAACTTCATGTACACTTTAAGCTCCCGTTAAATGCTTCTTTTCAGAGTGTTCATAATGCTCAATATTCATCTTATAAATAATGTTTTCTGTAAGTAGAGTCTTCCCCCAGGGGCCTGCTTCTCATAGGCATACCTTTCTGTATAGAGATGGGAGAAGGGGGCTTGTTGGGACCTGCCTCTGTGCCATGGCCAGAGAGGTTGGCCTGTCAGAGGTCCCCCATGGCCCTGGGGCAGGTAGAAGGATGTTTGTTCACTGCTTTCTCTTCCCAACTTGGAGACACGTGTCTTAATGCTGGATTTTCATTCCAAGATGGAGATTCCCCACCTTGCAAGAGACTTCACCCTGGTTTTGTTGGTATGTTCATTTAATTTGAAAATACTGCT